CTCTGGTTAAACTAATTCAACCTGAGTTTACCGATAAAAAAAAAAAAAATTCAACCTGAGTTTATACAAATGTTCATTCTTGAAACCATTTTGAAACAGAAATTCAGCATCAGGAATGCAGCTCATAGCAAAGACAAACTGAGAAGTATTCCTTAGCACCCCATACATTGTTAGAATATGGCTCTTTAAGGGGCTAAATCTAACCTAGTTACTATAAATGATTTCATTTTCAATTCTTGTAGCTCAAATCCTATCACCAAAATTCAAGTCCGACCGATTTGATTTCACCTCGCACAATTTATATTTCCTTCTTACTTCTGCTAGAGCGCAATAATCTCATCAGCTAGAACTCTATGGATAAATAATCCTTGAATTTCAGAACTATTAAACTCATCATACTTCTTATCAGCTTACAAAGTTCTTTCTATTTGTAAGTAGAGTACGACCAGCTGTATCAAGTTTCTTACTAACTAAGAATAGATTACAGGAGAGTTTTAAGCTACAGCACTGACTGCACCAAACAAGTTTTGTAAGTCTACTGATAGTCAATCTTTATACAAAATACAAATGCAATAAAAAACTTAAACAAATATAGTAATATACCATCAAATCACAAACATCTTAGGTCTCTCTTGCCGAATAACAACCCAGTCCAACTTCGCTTCCCAAACCATGCTGAAAGCTTATAATGAATAATCTTAACCGCACAACACCCTATATCAAGTCGACAACATCCCATTCGCATTTTCCTCAATATAACTTCAAAATAAAATAAGAAAGAACTGAAAACTCACAATAGTTGTAATGCGTTTGTTAGAAGCCATAAGAACATTTCCGTGCTCATCAAACACAAAACCCGCAGGTGGATTCGGCATAGGCAGCTCCGACCGTGACGGCGACTCTCGCACCTCCACCGCGCCACCCCGACCACCGCCGCTGACACTCTTTTGAATCTCATAATCTTCTTCAATATTATTTTTCCTGCTACTCGACTTCTTTTGCTTCTTCTTCTTCGCCGGAGGGGCGCCGCCACTTTTCTGCTGCTTCGCGGCCGCATAGCAACATAACAAAGTGTACCTACACCCAAAGCTGGAGTTTATTTTACTGGATGTGGGATAACTTACAAATGACTGCCGGAAAATGGAAGGAAGTTTCGAAGTGGGGGGATAAATAGCGGGAAAAGTGAAAAATCTGGGCATAGAAAATGCCATCTTCCCGAACTGAAGAACTGTATGATGCGAGGGGTGAACTGACTCCGGCTGGGGAATACTCTTATCGCACACTTTGCAGATTATAATTTCTTCCTCACACAATTATTGTCATTCTCTTTCCAGTCCTCGAAAGTTCGAAAATAACATTTTTTTACCTTGTGATACAAAGAGTATGTTTGTTTATAAAAATTTTTGGTTTTATTTAGAGTTTTTTTGTTTGGTTTGATTAATTTTGAAAAAGGTGGTATGATTAGATGTTAGTGTGTATATTAAAATAATATTTATAATAAAATAATTAAAATTGATTTGATATAAAAGTAGGAGAGAGAGATTTGAAGTGATGGTTAGTTAAAATAATGTGAGTGGATGAATAGTGAATTAAGGTTGATGTGGTTGTATGAATGATTGATTGATATTATTTAATTATATTGATAATATTGGGGTTGAGTTAGAGTTGAGTTAAAAAAAGTGGTTGAGTTAAAATGTTAGAATTTTTTTGAGAAATTCGATAAACAAACATCTCCAAAACCTTTTAGGTCTGCAACGTGGGCCGATTAAACTAGGCTAGGCTTTAAATTTGGAGGGATGCAATAAGCAGAGCCGGTCCTAATGAATTGTAGGCCCTCCAAATGAATAAATAGTGTCCCTATTGTTTTATTAAAAAAATAATTATAAATAATTTATTATATTATAAAAAAATAAATATTATAACAAAATTATAAAATTTTATAAAAAAAATTAACAATAAGTAAATGAATAAATCATGTTAAGTCCTTGTATAATAAAAAAGATGACAAAATATAAACAATGTTTTAAACTCTTTTTCACTTTAACCATATTTTTAATTTTATTGTAATCTCGAATAATCAACTCTTTTATTGCCAAAATACTAAATAATATTATTTCTAAAAAATATATATAACAAGCAATAAACAACAAATTGAAACTGGCATTTAAAATGGATAACTCGATGTCCCATAATGACTCACTTATATGATTGAGTTATATGCACACAAGTAACATTTTGCATATTCAAGTAAGAATTTAAAAAATATCTTTATTGATCGAATGAAAAAATGGGAGAAAAAAAATATAAATAAAAAAATATTAATTTAATTATCAATTATTATAAACTGATTTTATCATTAGAACTTCACGTGCAAAAAGAAAACTACATTTAATTGTGTAAAAATTAAGAAAAAATTAACTTATTTTAATAATCAATTATACTAAAATATATATTTTTTTTTCTTTTAAAAATTTCTGATAATTTATGCCGTTTAGAAATTTTGGGCCCTGGGCAGTTGCCTCGCTGGCCCTACCCCAGAGCTGACTCTGGCAATAAGCCCTAAATCCTACACTTATGTGGTAACTTTCAATGATTGCGAAAATGGTGGGTCCACTTAAATATTACAAGCAACTAAGGGCATCTTTAATGGGACTTTTAGTATAGGTTTGTAAACTCAAACCTGTAGGTTTTACCATTAAAATTTAATGCACACAGCTTTAAGGTTTGAGATTGTAAAAATGGGAGTTTTAGTATAGGTTTGTAAACTCAAACCTGTAGGTTTTACCATTAAAATTTAATGCACACAACTTTAAGGTTTGAGATTGTAAACCGGTGTTGAGAACACAAACATTAATATTTAAAAAAGAAAAAAAAACAAAAAGTTGCATACAGTAGGGTGAAACACACGCCCAAATAAAAGACAATGAAAATTTGGCCCACTCCCTTTTAAATGCGTTGCCTTGTGAAAATCGAAGTCTGCCAACATGTCTCTCTATCCCAAATTATTTTGTTGGTTTTTATTTTTAATATATATACATATATAGAGAAAGGATCATATGAGAATGACTCTTAATGCGAGAAATGAGAATAAGTATGGATCATTGGATCCAACATATCAAAGGTCTTGATCAAGTCAAATATTAAATATGACAGTCAAACTGGGATGGCAGATTCGTAAATAAATTTTCATTTCATGGTAAAAAATACACATCAGCCACTAACTAAGGACATCAAGGTAATTACTCATTCAAGGTAAATCCCAAGTGGCCCCACCACTACCACCAACAAACATCTCTTTTCTCTCACATCTTCCTCTCACCCCCACAGGCCACAGACGGGCACACACACACACACGACAGACGGCGGCACCCCAGTCCACAACCACCACCCGTCGCCTCCGACCTCACCCTGCGCCGCCCACGTCGTCGTCCGATCCCGCCACCTGTCGCCGGTCGCCGTCCTTACCCCACCCGCCGTCGTTGCCTTCCGTTAACCACCTGTCGTCCGCCACAAAATCCTCTGCCGCCGAGCAAGAGATGCTCTCGAAGACGACGAAGACGTGGCCACCGATGAACACTTGTTGCAGCGGCGTGCGGCCACTGGCGTTGTGGTCGCCGGCGAGCTCGGCCATCCGGGCGATGAGGTGGTTGTTGAAATTGAGGTGGTCGATGATGGTGGCGTTGTGACGGCGACTGACGAATGTCCCCCGGTGGCCGCTGGATGAGGCGCTCGACGGGAGGTGAACGGGCATGAAAATCAAAAGAATTTTCAATTTTATGGAGAGGGGCTTATTTTTGTGAATTTGATAAGTTTTAGGGGTTTAAGTGAAAATAAAATGATATTGCAACTGTTAATTAAATGACACAAATGACCAACCACAGTGAATTGACCGACAGAGAGCAGGTTGATGAATTTATGTGGGATCATCATTGATTATTTATTATTAAAATAAACAAAATTAATTGCGCACTAATATTTCAGTCTTGGGTTGCAAATCCTAATAATAGATGTTGACTAATGAATATCATTCTTACTAAATTACTTTAGATACTCCATTTCCTTGTACCAACATAACTTGGTATTATAGGCTTATACTCTATTTCATTCCCTAGGCTTATACTCTATTTCATTCCCTGTTGATAATTTTTGAAGTTACTAGTTTAATTTATCGGTTAACATAACTAACCATCGACATAAATTATATTATTTATTATAAAAAAACATATTATTAATTAATATTTTAGTTGATTTTTATATTATTTTTTTATTAAAGAAATTAGTATACATGTAAACAAAATATACCGTGCAATCTAATAGTCTTAAGGTGCAATTTGTCCAACACTATGGTGCACGATGTCGGTCTGTATTGTGCAAATTGAACCAACCGAACTTTTGTCCCAAATCAAATTGAAATTGAACATAATTTATTGGTTTATTCGATTCGAATAACTGAATTATTTTAAATAATTGAAATAATTTGTTGTTTATATTATAATTATATTTAATATGTTAATAATTCTATTTATTATTTTTTATATTATTTTTTTGTTGAATAAAATTGAGTTCGTCGGTTTCGATCTCTAATTTGCAGTCTGATAATCATTATAAAGTGCAATGTATTGTTTTGTAAAGTGCAATATGTTGTTTTATAAAGTGCAACGTGATAGTGTAAAAGTCGAACTATAAAGTGCAATGTATTGTTTGGTAAAGTGCGATGTGTTGTTTTATAAAGTGCAACGTGATAGTGTATAAGTCGAACTATAAAATGCAACGTATTGTTTTGTAAAGTGCAATGTGTTGTTTTGTAAAGTGCAACGTGATAGTGTATAAGTCGAACCAGTGTAAATAACCAAACCGACAGAATTAAACTTTACGGTTCGAAATTTTATATATCAATTTGATTAGAATAGATATAATATGATAATTATTCCTACCATTCTATTGTCAAAACAATTATTCCGACATATTGCGCAAAATATAATATTAATAATTAAATATGACATTTTTTAACAGTAATTGATCATGTTATATTAAATTAATAGTAATTTAATTACTAAAAATAAATTATCATGTCAAAATGCCCAAACATCATTCTTGTCTAGTTGTCATCCGGTTGGATTAATTTGATTAATAAAAATCAATTATCATGTCAAAATGCCCAAATTCCACCATGGTGAATAATTTGTTCTCACTGAAAAGAGTAAAAATTAAAAATTTGCAATTGAGTCCCTTGAATATATCAAATTCCCATATATGTGCCCTAATTTTTGGATCAAAATTTTGAAGGAAATTTTGAACATCCCTCCCAGCCGCCGGTTGCCCTCCCAATCCGGTAGTCTTGATAAAGTGCAATGTGTTGTGTTGTAAAGTGCAATATGGTATTTTATAAGGTGCAACGTGTGGACGTATAAAGTGAAATTATGTAATTTATTATTTTAATAAATTATTTTTATTATATATTTATGAATGGAATTACACTCAATAAATGACATATTTTTATTATTTCTTATTTAATACAAAAGTTGTTATGCAGATATCATTATTGAAACAAACGCCTAATGTGCATCTCAATTTTATTTTATTTTTAATAATATGTATTTATTTAAAATTACAATATGTTTATCAAGTTATTTATGTAATTCAAAATTTATTTAGTATTTGTAATTTTTGTATTTAATATTTTATTCTATTAATTTAATTAACATGTACATTTGTTATGCTAAGGTGCGATCTCACTAACAAAAAAGTGCAACCCGTCAGTTAATAATGTGCAATATGTCCAATAACATTTTAATATTTTATATTATGTTTATTTAATATTTTACATTAATTTTAGAAATAATATAATATATGTGTTAGTCAAATAGCGTGCAATTTTTATGATTTTGCTCCAAAATATAATAAATACCTTGTGAAATTGTGTAATGCAACTGTTCTCAGACCAATTGAAGTAGCCTAAGCACGTGTATTAGTGTATAGGAGTATGAATTGCTTTTTCTCTAATTTATTAAAGTTCACAAAATTTCAATTAAGCCCTTATACATCATTGAATTTTAAAAAATAAGCCCACAACCAAAACACATTTCAGGCTCACTCACGCAATTCAGCCGCCGTCTATGCCGCCTTGAACCGCTCGGCTGGACATGATGTGCCGCTGCTCGCCGACGGCGGATCGAACCTGCTCCTCGACCGATTTGCTGAAATTGGTTCGGAACCTTTGAAACGGCCCTGTTCAATTAGTACTTTAACGCCGTCGTGGTCGTCGTCGGAGACCGGAGAGAAGGAGAGCGTGCCGGAGACGACTCGCCGGCAGAAGGAA